AGCCTCTGTGCACCAAGACCCATGTTTGATGGCACCCACCCTGGCAAACTGCATGTGATGATGACCTCCCACTTTTTTTTTAGGGGGGCGGGGGAGCCTCCAGTATGGCGGCACTGTGGAGGCAGTGGGGTGACCTCATTCCCACAGCAGAAAGCTTGCTATCAGGGCCGTCTCCAGCATTCCGCTCCGGGGGCCTGACGTCAGTGTGCCTGATAACGGGGTCCGCTGAGGGGAGTTGGGGGGGGCTGCCGGGGGTGGGGGGGTTGGGGCAGTAGGGGTGTGATTCCTGGGTATTGGAGGGGTTACACTAACAGAGACAGCCCTGGATAAGGCCAGAGACAGATAAGAAGCGAGACAGAGGAGACCCATTGTTCCAGAAGTTTCAAACAGTTCTTGTGTCATGTGCTCATCCTTAAAAAATAGGAATATTAATGCTCCTATCATGTCTCCTGACTCGAGCTGCAAAACTAAACTTATGCTCTTTCTTAGGCTGCCTTTCTGTCAGATGGGAGAGGAGAGATGATTCCTGGTGGGCTACAGCCAATCGAAACAAATTAAATTACAAATAAAAAACACAAAAAGAAGAAAACAAAGCCATTTATTTCAGAGTTTTTTTTTGGTGCATTTGTGGTTTAAAATAAAGAGCCGATCATATTGATCCTCAGAAGCTTTCAAAAATAACACATCAGGCATGTGCGCTTGGGGCGTTGGCATAGCGACAGGGTGGCTGTGTACCGAAACGAAACCCAGCAGAGGACACAGGAAGACTGAACCGGGACACGAGTTTGTTGTCTCAGCCCAATCAGCGTTAGAGTGCCAGAAAAGCACATGTGAACCTGCTGTCCGCCAGGGTGTGAGTGGCCTGGTGCATTCTGGGCCATGCCCGGGCCGTGTCACTAGGGAGCCCGAGTGTTATCAGGTTCCCTGGCCCCGGGAGAGCTCTGTTTGCTCTCAGTGCTCATGCCCCGTGGACTTTGGCCTGGCCTTTATCTCGGGGAGAGGTGCTGGGATCCCTACCTCTCAGCCGCTAAAAATACATCCAGCGATAAGCCAGCCACGTAACCCTTGGCGAGGGCCTTCGGGCAGAGCGCGTGCCTCCTGACCGCGGTCGCGCATGACCAGGGGAGCCGCTGGATGGAGGACGCCAGGCAGGTGGGACGGACAGAACCCCGTGAATGAGTGCCGTGTGCTTATCTGTCACAAATGTGAGTCTGGCATCTGAAAAGGCCTCGCCCAGCCTTCGAGAGTAATTGCAAATTAATGCAGCTCTTGCAGCATTTTTAACGTGCATGTGCGGATGGTGAGACTGTGCGGGATCCCCATGTTTGACTTTGATAAATAATTAAATAGCCTTTGACATTTTCAATATTTAACTTCACCTATTATTATAGGACTTGTGTACATCAATGCTGGACACAAGCACGATAAATCAGTCTACAGAGACTTATAGTCGTAAGCTCTTTTTATATATTCTAGTGGCCTATGTCTAAATTGTACACATTCTGACTTAAATAGATTTTAAAAGTTTCTTTAAGCCACCGAATTCTATTTTTAAAACATATCCACTTCAGAAATAAGTGACTCATGGATTTATAAGCTAGCCTGAATTGTTTACATGGCACTTCATGGTGCAATGATGAGAAATCGTTTATTTCAGTCAGTATAACCTGCAGTTAATTAATAAGTAAAAGACAAACTTCTGGACGACTGACCTGGGATCAGTGCTTAAGCATACACCATGATACCATAAACTGGAGGGTTTTTCAACAAATTCTTCTTACTTTCTCCGTTTTTTCCCCCCTTTCTGTGCTTTAAAACCAAGCACAACAAATCTCTGTCCCCAAGCAGCTTAAAGCTCAAGATGAAAACATTAACTACAGAGTCACCATGAAATCCAGTCATTAAATGTCCCAACTCAGTATATAACATTTAGTTTATTTTCACTTCAAAAATATTTGAATATTTTTGGCACTGTTGCCTTATAAAGTTGTCATATAAGTATGACAGTTCTTCATCTTCAATGTACATTTACTTGCTTTGACAGTATTAGAGCATGTTGAGACAGATGGTTCATGTTGGACCACCCTGGTCAGGGGAACCACAGCAAACCCCTCCACAGGCTTTAACCAGAAACCATTGGGTTATAAAACTGGGTCTCTTTCTTCTCTATCTAGCAAAACAGGACATCCATCCATCTATCCATCCATCCATCCTCCTACTGCTTATCCTAGACCGGGTCATGGGGGTGGGGTACACCCTGCTTAGGATGCCAGCCAATCACAGAGCACAAACACCAAATCAGGACAATTTAGTATTAAAAATAAGTGCAGTTGTTTAAATATTCTCCTTTTTCTTCTAAATGGAAATTTAAATGGTGCAGCTGAGATATTAATATTTACTATGACATTTTTAAATAACACGTCAAATTTGTCCACAGTTGTAGACCTCAAACTAAATGTTTTCAATTTCACTGTTTGGATAAGCAAAATGAATTAATCTTTGAAAGCTGCTGTTATGTAAGGTAAAGTCCGTGTGTCTTCACATTGATCTCCATATATACCTTGCGTTGTCTGACATCATCTTTGACAAGCTTTTGTACAATGTCAAAAATGGCCTTCCTGACAATAAAAACAAAATGTTCTCTGTCACCAGTTAGACAAATGTATTATTTGGGGATTTGCTGATACTTGCAACCATAAACCAACACAATAACATTTTTTTCCCCCTTCTGTGACATTTGTTAGCTTATTGCCACTCAAAGGGGTGATCTTGATGGAGCTGAGTTCATTTTTGTCTATGCTGCTCCTATTGGGTCATGTTTATTTTTAGGTCAGTCCGTCTTAAGGTCCTAATGGAGGTGTTTTTCCTGGTGCCACAGAGGCCTGCCAAACTCCTTCCCTTAGGAAGAGAGTCCAAGGCAAGGAGTCTGACCCGCTGTAAGTGACTGGATGATCGTGGGCGGTCAAGGGGGAGGGGGGAGCTGTCAGGATTTCTGGTGGCCTATTCTAACTCTTGCTTACTGCATCCCTGACCACCAGGAACATGCTGCCAATTCTTTCCTGCTGCTTTCACCATTAGCCACGCATAGAAGAACTGCTTTGAATGCGATTTTCTGTTTGTAACTATATTTAATGGTTCCGTACGGAGGCGGTGCGAATAAGTTCACTGGAAGAGACGCACAGAGTACGTGGCATAAATGAGGCAAACACGGTCCTGTTATGGTTCAAAGGTGCCTTTCCGCGCTGTTCCCAGGGTCATCGGCGGTGAAAAACACGCGCGTGCACAGCAAAGTCTTCACACCGCGCTGTTTTTGCCAACTCGGCCGATCGGGTTGTCTGTTCTTTTTGACCTCCGTAGTATTCAACCGGATATTCTATTAATAACATTTTTCATTTTAAAATTGCTGAATGGTTAAACGAAATTACAGAGAATGGAGAGAACCAACTGAAGTCAACACTAAATATATTAAAGACTATTGAAAATGTAATTAACAGTTTTAGTCATGGGCCACAGCTCTGACTGCAGCTACGTGGTGAGATTTTGCGAATTAGCGGCCAATCTTCACATTTACCGCGTTCAAGTTAAACATTAATAATCCTTCGTTTTCAATTGAGCAATATCGAGGCTATTTACCTTGACATGATTAAAGGACAAGATCGGAAAATCAATACTATAAGCACTCGCTCACTCAAGGCTGTTCCATGCGAAAGAGACCAGTGGGTGAATTTCTTCACAAACATTTGCCTGTAGACAACTTTAATCGGAATCCAAAAACGCAACTGATCTTATTTAATTATTATCGTGCACGTCTACTCAATGCTGATCACGACTTTCCTGTTCCATTTCTTGTTATATTAAATTACTACACAGCAGTTTGACACCGGTTGAGGTGTTCATTTAACACAGAGTGTTTATATATTCCAACAGGATTATATAAACACTCGGTTTTAATATTAACACTGGCATTGCATTTTAATGCTTCTTATTGCGTATTATTTTGCCCTGTTACGGAATCTAAAAATACGGTCCCAAATACAATTCAAAGTCTCGGTACTCTTGTGAAATGATCAGAAAACAACACTAACTATACTTTGTCTATGAACAAAGAGAACTAAAATCGCTGCAGTTACCGCTGTACTAAAGAATTATTCAATATACGCTTAGTTTAACATTTTTCATTTTTCAAGTAACAACTCCCTTAATACTGTTGTTCACAGGTATTAATCGGTCGCTGTGTAATCGCTCCCAAAAGCCTAAGGACCATGCCTGTACGCCCCTCTAATCAGCTTAAATGCATCTAATTTATTTATTTAAAAAAATAGTTGTTGATTAAAACTTTACGAACAGCTTGCTAAAAAGATTTCATTTACGGATTTCCACAAAACCACTGGAGTACGAATTATTTTTTTGTTCGGTCCAGCCATAGTTCACGTACCACGCACACAACCATTTTTCTCACGGAGTTCAATGTCAGTCTCGCTTCGTCATTAAGACCGCGCGTAGATATTTGGTTTGTAATTAATGTGACTCTGAAGAAGAGCACTGATTCTTTAAAGCATTTCAGATGCAAATTCTTGCACCCGAAATTGTGTTGACTTTCTTGTCTATACTTAAGGTTTTATTTTGTAAGGTCTGAAATTTTAACGTATGAGGTATAATTGAAAAAAAATTGTAAATGACAACGACATAATTAAATTCCTATACAACTGTATATCCGTTTAACAGTCAAGATGAATAATAATTAGATATTAGGCCTAATATATTAAGAATTCCATATTGTTTACATTTGTTGTAATGGCCCTTAGAAATTTAACCCCCTATTTAAGATGATCGCGTGTGTTACCACGTTATTGTTACGCCTTTATCTATGTTGTGTTACTGCTCTCGAATCTTGGCACCTCTGCGCTACAGATTAAACGGTCAGTTAAAGTAAATTCACAAAAGACCTAACATGTGGCACATCTTCGTACTTCAGTGTTAAAAAGAGTCATATATGCCTATTGAATATTTAAATAACGGATGTATCGTTATTTTATTAACACTGACAATTTGTAATTCGACAATTAAATTGTTGTACCTTATAACACAACAAAGCTGATATTCAGTTCAGAGTTCTATTAAACATCACAGAGCACAGTGCTCTGAGCAATAGCTCAGGCATTTTGTATGGAAAAAAAGTAACACCAGCGTATGGCTTTGGTTACACCTGCTTAAATGTAGCTACTGTGGAAATTATTGATGTGCGTTTTCTTCTAGGTCGGTTTAACAGAAAATTCTACTCTGGGAATCAAATAAAATGTACTTATGACTTCGTCTGGTTCTGTATTGTAACACTAATCGCCTAAAATATTAACACTTCAGTTACACCTATATTAAACTTTAGTAATAGGGACCATATATTGAAATGTAAATTAAAATATTAAGTGATACTAATAAAAATGACATTAATCACTAGGATTTATCTTAATAGAGCTTGAAGAAGTTTTAAACAAATATGCTTTCGAGTTGGAATTTAGCCTCATCGGATACAGGAACCGTCTGGTTATTTTCGTCTTCCTTCGAGGTTAGCGTTTGTCTCAAGGCAGCCTCGATGTTGTCTTGTGCATCCTGTTTGGACACCAGTCTTCGATACGCAGCCAGACAGCTGTAGAAAAATACAAAGACAATCATTTCAACTTATTGAAAGCATAATTTATATTCACCATTACAAACTCCCAATCCGCATCAGTTTCCCATTTTTCGATCAACTGATTGCTGATTTCCATACTGCACATTCTACATCACAGTGCTTAGCTCTGTGCCCTTACAGCCAAATTACTAACTCGCTAGATTCTGGGTAGAATTCAGTATCGCCTTTGCTGTTATCACGTATTTGCTATTTCAATGCAAATGCAGGCCTATTTGGTGAAGCAATCATTACTGCCACAATGAAGGTATCGTGCAGCCTGATCGATAGCAGTAGGTGATTTGAGTTCTGAACATATGCTTAATCTGATTATTTTCTGATTATCTGATGTAGGCCTACGACACAAAATGTTAATTGCAAAAAGAACAAGACCACAAATGACATGAAAAGCCCCGCGTTTTAAATTAGGTTTATTTTTCCTGATACAATTACAATTATTTTGCGATGATGCAATTTTCAGATGTAGCCTATTAACAAAAGTTAGAAATTGTATTGCTCGCTAATGTTACATTCATCCTCGACCTCAGTGTCTCATGGCGCATTTACAAGATACACTTTGTTGACGGCCTATCTGCCCGCGAGAATGATTTTTTATTTTTGTTTTACAAATATTTAAGCACGGCCGTGATCCGTATTTAAACATATACGATTGATGAAAAATTTGTAATACACCAAATTAATCTTTCTTTATATTTACCAATCAAACAAAGTAAGGTAAAATTGTATATGCAAAAGTACAGGCCTATAAAGCGACTTACCAAATTTGAAATAGATTTCAACCATTTATTCATACAAAATAATAAACATTGCAGTAACAGTGGGCCAAATTAAATTGAAAGAATTCGTTTTTATGGTACATTTTCATTAACTTTACTGTTATTCTGTAGTTGTGGTTCTTGTCTTTAATGATGTCACTGTTTATCATTACTTGTTATTACTATTATCATTATTTTAGTACATTTTATTGTGAATAGGTTTTTTTTTTCTTTAAAAAAAAAAAAAAGAAAAATACGTAACTACAAATATTATTATTATCTTTAGTTAGTGAATCTTATACATTACTCCATGCTTTTTAAAATTAGGTCTACCGCTTTGTTTTAGGATTGAATTTATTAATGTCTGTTTATATGAGTAACTACGCGCAATATTTTTTTACACAAAACAATAGCTATTTAACTGGTACGACGATTACCCTTGCAAAACAAAGCTTTTAGCTATTACTTACCAGCAGTCATACTATAAATTGTAATACGCAAGTTACTTTGATCGACCCTTCAAGCGTATTAAACTCGTTTCGATCATAACTGTGATTTATAAGGAGGATTTGGCTGTCATACGCCGACAAAATGTTGGTGACAGGTATAAATTACTCCGCAAGAATGCTACAAGATTTCCGATTATGAAAAATGGACGTAACTGGCGTCGCAAACTGTCGCCTTGCACCAAAACAACTTCATTTGTCATTTTGACGATATTTGTCTTTTGAGAAAAGCCTTAACTTTTGCGGCAGACGAAATATTATACAAATGTATTCAGTCTGCGATTACTTTTTAAATGTTCACATTAATACAACTGCGTATCTTTTATTTTAAAATGTTATACAAAATACGTTTATATTACACCCCAAGCCTGAGAACAATATCCAGAGAACAAACAGATTTTCAAATACTGTACATGCTTAATGTGTTCCATTCTACCGTTCAAAGTTTGATATTCTCGATCGTCTGTTTGCTGGCTGACTTCTCATATTATCCTAAGTGTGAAAAGTCTGTGTCCGTACCAAGATCCACACAGGTGCCATTAAAAGGGTGAATTTACTTACAGTCATGGCAACAGATCGCTGTCCAATAGCCAACACACTTAGGCAATCTAAACAACTGAATTCAGCACAAATCTTTAGAGTATATGGGAAGGCATATAAACAATTTAAAGGGTGTATTTAGCAGTAGTTTGCTGTATTAGTGGGGAGGAGGTGGCAATGAAGGAGAGAAAGAGAGAGAGAGAGAGAGAGAGAGAGAGAGAGAGAGAGAGATTAACTAAGCAGAAGTCATTTTGGCAGCCCTGTGCTTTATGCGGGGGCTCACGGGCATAGCCTCATTACACACAGCCTTAGATATCTTTATTTTCACATTCAAATTGTGAACTGCGTTTTATTTTTTAAATTCGTTAACATCACAAGAAGAATAGCGGGTGTGGGGTGTAGAAATGCTCCCTTCGTGTGGATGACAAACTTTTCCACTGGATTACAAGTGATCCCTCATGCAGCACCAGGGACCCTGACAAACGGCGAATCCATTTACCAGGTTTCCAATGCGAATGATCACCTCTGAGGCGTGGATATGTATCAGGGCATAACAATGGCAACAAACCATGGACCATCCTACGAGCCTGGTTTTTTGCACAACTCCGCCGCTACCTCGCCAGTCTACGTGCCGACTACACGGGTTTCAGCCATGATTCCAGCCCTGCCTTACCTTCAGACGCATGCAGCTTCGCAGCAAGCCGGCTCGGTGTCCAGCCATTCGGGCTGGGTTCAGCCCGGCGCGGATTCCGTCCCTTCCTACAACACGGGGAGCGCCCACCACTCTCCCGTGTCGCCTCGTTTCACCTTCTCCACCAGTCCCCCTCTCAGCTCTGGGGTCGCCGCGGTCCGAGAGACGGCAAGTTACAACAGCCCATTGAACATCAACACCAACGGCAGGGAGCACTACGGAACGCGGGGGATCGGCGGATCGTATCACAGTCCGTATCCGGCTTATGTGAGTCCAAATATGGGAGGAACGTGGCCTTCATCGTCGTTTGACAGCTCCGTACTGCATAACCTACAATCTGCTGGCCCCGCGGGCGCTGGTAGGCACCCCAATATAGGTAAGAAATGAATCTGCGTCTAGAACATTAATACACAGGCCTACGTCCAAAAACTCCTACCCCAAAGTGTCTGTGTACACTATTCCACACATCTCCTCGCAAATAGCAATGAAAACGATATGCTGAGCTATGTACCTGAGGCCTATGTGGTCTATAGTTTCATGTTTCAGAGAGAAAACGTATAACCCCGTTTTCCTACCAGGTTAAAGTTTTCATAAGATGAATGTATTAAGTCCATGCTTCGTAGTACATTTCACTGCAATAAAAGCGTTGAAGATTTTCAATTCAATGCTAACTTTTTCAGATTGTCCTATAGTTCAGTACACCAGAATGTCGTTTTAATGCCGCTCTTATGCGACGTACGCGTATATTCCCTCTTCCCCACGATAAATATCAGTGGTGTATTTCTTGAATAAGTATACCTTTATTGTTAATGGTTACGGATACAATAGTGGATTATCACAAGCTCGGAAGCGGTTGCCGAGCGCACACGGCCGCAGGCAGTACTTCGTGCCGTTTACGTTTTTATCATGGTATACTTTTTAAGAATAACAAATATGTAGGTAAAATATACATAAACTAATATTGAATCTTGAATGTATCTGACCCAGGTATTGTTGTTCACTTGATTTAAGGTTTTCCCGACTTTCAATAACGACGCTCGGGTAACATGAACGTTATCACTCTTATAAGGGATGTACAGTAATGAGAATATAACATTTTAGAATGATGTCTAATCAAATTATCGTTCCTAGCTTAAACGGGCCAAATGTTATACACACATTTATGTTGATATAATATAAAAATATACGGTACGTTCAGGTGGCGATTTTGAACGGGGGGTTAAGTTGTAAGTACTTCATCTTATAATTGTGTTACTAGCAACAATGACACACCGAATAGTGGGGAAAAGCTGATCAAAAACAGATTGTGAAGTGCATGATGAAGTTAGGGTGTATTGACGCACTTCTGATGTAATTCTTGCGCATCATTGATTATCAATAATCAAAATGACAAAATCGTGGTTGTCAGTGTTTTTATACTTATATTTGTCACAGTATTCTGGCACAATATATATCTAAAATTCTAGTTTTTATTTAGTATTAATACAGCTTAAAGATGCGGTATGAGCTTTGTGCTAAAACGCAATTTTGAGTAACTTGAGTCTGAAATAGACTAAATGCAAAAGCATAAGTATTTTGTTAAACACAATTACTTGCTCTCTCTAGTATTAAATTAACAGTAGAGACTGAATAAGTCAAAAACTTGTTTGTTCTGCTGCAAATAAAGTGATTTAATAAATTCATTCACAACTCTAATCACAATCTGTCGATGCTGCTGTTTTTAATAATGTTTTCCTGGATTCGCTCTGAAGTCTTCATCTGACTCACATGAAGCTTAATATTTGGCTTTATTTCTCATATGTTTGGAAAATTTCTGAACATAATAGACTCTCCGTTTTTAATAAATAATCGCGCTGCTGTTTTTTGCTCGCACCTGACGCGTTCGAAGGAGCGATAAGCTTGTTTGGTCTGGTCAAAAATAATTTCCTGGTAGTTAATTGGCAACTATAATAAAGAGATAAACTTGTAGAGAAGCAGAACGCAGGCATTCATCCAGATAGACAGAGCACTGAGAGGAGTGAATAGGCCTAATGGTATTATCACAGCGCCATTAATAAAGACCGAGAACTACAGGCTAAAGACAAAACAACACAATGTATTTTACTATTATTATTATTATTATTATTACAAAACAATAATCTTTTTATGATTATTATAGTAGTAGTTTGCTGTATTAGTGGGGAGGAGGTGGCAATGAAGGAGAGAGAAATATTTGAATTATTTAATTAGTTGAGTGCCGTTTAAAATGTTTTATCTATCTATCTATATATCTATCTATCTATCTGTCTGTCTTTCTGTCTGTCTGCCTGTCTGTCTGTCTATCTATCTATCTATCTATCTGTCTATCTATCTATGTCTGCCTGTCTGTCTGCCTATCTATCTATTTGCTGTTTGATTATGTAATATTTTGAAGGAATAATCTCTATCCATGGAGCTTTTGAAATAGTAAAGAAAACACTTCACGCCACAGTCAGCTGACAGAGGTACCGGAACACGAAACGTCTCCGATTATTGTTCCTATATATTAGCGCATCTGCGTGGCAAATTCTTAATTTGACGATAAGTTGCGAGGAGGAAATCTTAAAAATAAATGATACACTTTTTTTCTCCGTATTTGAAAAACTAACAACGCGTTGCCCAAAGACAGTACATCTATTTATAGATTGGAAAAGTTACATTCTTGAGTGACGCCCCCAGGCGCATGGATATCTAGCTGACTGTTGCTGGACGTCTTTATATCCGCCTGCACAACGCCAGACTTAAGCTAGGCGCGCAGGAATCGTTAAATGCATGCCGTCAGCTCCTTGGTACCTGCAAATAACTAGGTTCTCTCTCCGTGGTGCTGAAACTAAAATAGGCTTAAGTTAGACTCTAGAGACGATCACCTCTATTAACTGTGAAAAGCGAGTTCATGGACGATATCGACAGTTTTTTAGGACGAGTTCAACATTTTTACTGTTTCGTGTTTCTGTTTTATGTTCTCATATGTACAGAAATGGAATATTTCGAAATATTTCAAATTGTTTGACAGCTTGCTTTGTTATAGTGTAGGCCTACATTGTAGGATTACTATTTTTTGGGGGGGGGGGGGGGGGGGTGGTTGTTGAAGAACGCTTATTTTTGGGAGGTAACCTCACATAACGTGTATAATTAACCATTTTGTTAAAACATTAGTTTTATATACTTATCCACCCGAGAATCTAAATGTTAACAAAATATTTGTCTATTGGTCTCTTCACCTAAAGTGTCCTTAATAAATGACATTTTCTCAATGTTATATTACATTATTTGTCTCAAACTAAATAAATAAATAATTTAAAAAGGTCTAACATACTGAGCGTTGCCTGGTATAGAGTTGAATTCTTTTCATTCCAAAGCAGAACATCTCACTGTCTCCAATGCTCAGATAAGACAGTCACAGAAATACCAGGGTGAAGCCCCTTTCTGCTGATCCCGGTACAGACGTGTTAGGAAGTTCCATATTCAATGTGTATGAACTTTCATTCAGTGTATCCAAGGGCGTAACTTTGGCTGGAACATTGGGGGGGGGTTGAGGTCTCCACCCATTACAGGGGAAACATGATTATTCGGGGGGTTGTATTAGCTGGTTTTGATTTATTGGGGGGGCTACAACCCCCCCATCCCCCCCGTAATTTACGCCCATGAGTGTATCTTAAAACAATGTATTTGTGTATTCCCTCACTTTCGTGATTTTGTAATTAAACGTGAAGCAGGCTATTCGGGAGGAGACTTAGTGAACATCATACACATCTTGCCAGCACATGAAACTCTGCAGGCATTAATTTCATTTTGTGTAGAAAATTGTACATTAAAGGGTTAAAATCATTCTCAGATTGCTTATTAAATATCAGCCCCCATATGCAATAATATAGTGCATTTTCCATGATTAACCTGAGACATGAAATCAACTCATTTTCTTTTACAAAGAGAGTAAAGCTGTTTATATATATGTGCAGATGAAAAGCAGGTTGACGTTTTTATGATTCAGTTTTGCCTGGGATTAGCTTTTACACGCCGGGTTTGTCACCCACCTCGATGAAGCTCGTTGTGTATTTGCTTACAGCATGAACTGCTCAGCCCTGCTTGTTCACACCGACACACCCCCCCCCCCAGTCACTATCATTTTCGGGTCTCTACCCTCCAAGACAGTGTTTCCCAATCCGATCCTCAGGGACCTACAGGTCCAGGTGTTGTTCCCTCCAACCTCTCCACCAGAGAGTCACATTTTTGCTCCCTCAGAGGTCCAGGTAGGGAGCAAAAATATGGACTGTCTGTGGGTCCCTAAGGACCGAATTGGGAAACACTGTTCCAAGGATGCAAGATTCATCTACATGTCACGAATCAATGCATAATAAATTGTTACTATCATCATTTGGTAAAAATTACTCAGATTTAAATTTAAATAAATCCAATATCTCACTACTCATTTATGTAAAATATCGGTAACTGAAAATTTGGAATGAAACATATCGATGATCTGTTACTGTGATTTTTGGGTCAGAAAGGATGACTGTTGTCAGGATTTTTATTTTTTAACTCACTAATTAAAATGAAAAAAATTGCAAGTTAAAAATTAAACTAATTGTCTGTTTTATAAATGCTCTGCTGTTTTGACAGGACAAAATATTAAAGTAAAATTTCCATATCAGATTTCAGAGTTTCCAGATAGTGATGGAAGATTTCAGGCTCTTAAACCAACAGTGGGTGGGATTACTGGACACTGCCAATCACTTCCTTATTTACATTGATGGGAACCAATCAAGGAATTAATAGGTGGGTTAAATTTGTGATTGACAGTGCTAGATAATCCCACCCACTATGGGGGTTGCTGATGTCAGTAGCTTCAGGCATCTGGTCATTGAACTAGACAAACTACCCGTGTTCACACGAACAAGACCTGGTTCCAGCTGATGATGGGCAGCATCTCAGCCGTATCTCTCGCCCTCAGAGCTGTTCGATGATTTTGCGGAGGGGCGGGAATGCGTCAACTGCGGGGCCATGTCAACGCCCCTCTGGCGTCGGGACGGGACCGGGCACTACCTGTGCAATGCCTGCGGTCTCTACCACAAGATGAATGGCATCAACCGGCCCCTTATTAAACCGCAGAGACGCCTGGTGAGTGTGGCTGGTCTTAGCCATTCTATTACCAAATATTAATAATTCGCCTTGATTCAATTTGTTATTTTAAAGGAATAAACCATCTGCTGAGAAGGGGTGATTTTTTTTACTCTGCTGCTTTCTTTTGTATTAACTTTGGTACGGACCATTCGCTAAAAAACAAAATAATATTCCTGTCTGAAAAAATATGCTTTATTTGAAAGAGAATCCATCCATCCATACATTATTGTTCCTACCCCATTGAGAAATAATGTCAATACATTAATTACAACAAACAGTAATCCTGGAAATTTAATATTTTGTTTTTCAGAGTGCATCTAGGAGAGTTGGTCTGTCCTGCACAAACTGTCACACCACCACCACCACACTTTGGCGCCGTAATGCAGAGGGGGAGCCCGTGTGCAATGCCTGCGGCCTGTACATGAAGCTGCATGGGGTGAGGACGACGGCGGGGGTGGGGGAACATTGCGGTCCGTCGCAGAAGTGAGAGCGTAGTAACCACTTATGGCCACTAGAGGTCAGGCTTTACACACATTTTAGCTAGTGATGCCGGTCTTCTTGCAGTTCTTGCTGCAATATATATGCAATATCCAGGGTTGGACAGACCATCTAGTATTTTATCGACATGTGTATCCTGCGGGTCATTTACCAAATATTACTGTTGTTTTGTTTTCATTGTTGGTCATATGTTGTTTATTCCATTACATAATAAATATATATAAAAAAATCTTTCTGCCACGCTAAACATGCTGGTTAAACATTCTCCTGACGCATGATGTCACTCTCTTGGCATTTCACTAGGCAATCTGTGGATTTTAAAGCAGACGCTTATGCATTTAATTCTCCCGAGTAAAAAGTTCCAGCTGATACGCTGAGAAACATTCCTCAAAAAAGGCCGTTATGTCACTCTAGATTAGGCTTTTGTTCTGAATCTGCAAACACATCATGATATTGTTGCTGCAAATAAGTAGTCAAACATCAGTCCCAAATGCTTGTCTTCAGGTCCCTCGCCCCTTGGCCATGAAGAAGGATGGGATTCAGACTCGTAAACGCAAACCTAAGAACCTGAATAAGTCTAAATCTGGTGAGCCCACAATTTTGACCGCAAAATTCTTCGTGTAACTGCTGGGAGCAGGTGTGTCTGATGCCATACCTTCTCCCCATGACAGGAACACCTCTGGGGGAGAGCCATGCCCCCAGCAGCCCCATGAAGGCCAGCAGCAACACGGAGCAGCCACGGCCAGTGAAGACGGAACCAGAGAACACCGCACTGTACCCACAGCATGGCATGCATCCGCAGGTGAGGGCGTCATGCATATCTGACACTTATCCTATTCAGTAAATATCGTCATGCATAGCAATGACCAAATAGCTACTGGCATTAAAATAATAATGCTTGCCAAAGTGAGCCTGTGTAATTCCAGGTAATTAACAGCAGAGGGCAGCACCAGCACTGATCCATATCAATGCCTAAACTTTCACATCACTGTTATGTCCAGGTGCCGTCCATCCCTGGATACAGGACTGTCCACAATGGCAATACGCCTCTCAAGCTGTCCCCTGGGGGCCCCTCTGGGCCCTCCAGCTCCAAGAGTGAGCCGTGGAGCAGCCTTGTACTAGCCTGAGGCTACGTGTACATATCTGGGTGAAAGCGGAGCGTCATGGAGACCTGGTTGCCTTACCTTTGTATCTCACATGCCCATGTAGTGTGGAGACTTACATTGCTTTAGCTTGCTGGCTTCTCTTTCTTCCAAGCCGCCGTCTCCCATGGTTTTTCCTTTTCTAATTTGTCATTTCTTCATTCTGTTGTGTTTTAAATAATTTTTTTTACACTGCAAGAAGAAAGCCTACAATGACTCCCAAGACTCTTACATGGCCGTGCTCGAGAATCTGAGCCACAAGATATGATTTAGTTTGAAAGATGGGGAGTAGTAGGGGGATGATAACCCAGTGGTGGCTTTCTGCCGTCGGGCCCACAGGACCTGAGCTGCCAGGTATTTTGGATCAGCAGTCGACTGAGCAAAAAAAGTCACTGAGCAGAAAGAAAGTGCATTCAGATACCTGTAAGCATCCCCCCTGCCTAGATCACCCACCGAACACGAAAGCACTCTGGAGGGAAAAGTTAACATTGTATCGTCTGGATCACTCCATTAGCTGCCTGAACTGTGTGTCATTTCAAGTTCATGATCTGTGTGTGACCCTCACACTTTGCGAGACGGATCCCGGCCAGTGTGACTCACGCTCTACCACAGGAATGCAATTTGGTGTCAGGCTAAGTGTTGTGTTCAACTTCTGCTCATTTGTGCTAATCAGCATATGCCATGTTACAGCATCAAGTCAGAAATATGTGCATAGAATTAAGTCTCGCGTGGTTGTCATTAGCATATTTTCAGTTAAAAACTGACACAAAGAGTCGCCCTGGAATGAGCCCTGAAATCCAGCCTTTTACTTTAGTGATATTTCGATTATTTTTTATGTTTGTAACATCCTTGCAGATGGTGTCATGTATTTTTAGCCTGGTTTGTAGTATTTATTATGCTTTAAATCAGCATTTCTCTTTGATTTTTCTTTTTACCTCTCTTCGTTTAGAATGCAACATCAGCATAAGCTAAATGTGAACGCATTGTGACAGAAATTATTAAAGATTTCCCAGCCACAGAACTGAATGATGATACCTGCTTACTCCAAGCAGAGAGACGTATAGCTACACTTTAGCCATCATCTTTTTGTAAATTATGGAATGTTGTAGAATAAATATACAAGCATACCGTTACATGTATATGAATTCACTCCATAATAATGTATGTATTTCATATATTCCCTTGAATATTTTTTTTTTTTCAGAAATCTGAGGCTACCTTTTGTCCCGTGGCTGTGGCAGCACCGGCACTATGCTGGCTGTCCTCTTGTGTGCCGCAGTTTCAGCAATAAAGTGAAGGAAACGTGTTGCGGAGTAAATCTGGGTTATCGCAGTTCGTGTGACGTTTTTGCATGTATGTCTGCGGGCTGACATTGGGGTACAGGGTAGTGATTGGGGCAGCAGGGTGGCCAATGGGATGGAGTGCAAGGCTGAGACGCTGAAGGGACTGACTTCCCTCTTGCAGGATAGTAACCCACGTGACCTGTTTTAACGCTGAGGGCATTAAGCATATTCACTTCCCCTTGGATCTGGGGCACATCAGGAAAGCGATGAAATGCTACAATATATAAAACCACAGTATCAAGATTAACTGTGGGGGAGAGGGCTAATCTAGTCGTTTTTACAGCAAATAATATGAAAATACCTTTTACAGTTTGCTAAGCTGATTGCCGTAACTAATTTTCAATTTTAGCCAAAGCACTGTAATTACAATTGAATCCTCTTTCATGGCCAATTAACCCGCACATGAACCACACACTTGTGGACTACCTTAGAGGACTCGGAGGCTTGAGATGTGACACATCTATTGAGCCACTGCCCTGCCCTTGCCCATCCAGTTATGAAATTAAACGCATTGTGTGTGTGTGTGTGTGTGTGTGTGCGGGTGTGTGTGGGTGAGTGCATTTACAAAAAAATCAGCACGTATTACCCTAAGAGGTAGCCTATATACCAGTCCAGCCCATAGTGGTATATTCTGCAAAAAGGATCCACGAACAAAACACACATTTAATGGTAATTTATTAGCATTACTCATCAGCACAGAAATCCATATTTCCTCACGTATTTACATTTAACATATTTAGTAGACGCTTTTGTCCAAACCGACAAGTGTGGCAAATGGCACGTTGCAAACATTAGCTACATGCTGTCAAGGAGGCAACTAGGCAAAAGTGCAGCTAGGCTGAGCTTCCGATGAATGCTCCGGTACAAGTGTAAGCAGTACTGGAGCAGGAGCTACACAATAACTTCTAACAAAGCAAAGATCCAGACTCTTCCCTTTTGAGAAGTGTAGGCTAACATACGATAATTTAAAGAACGTAACGAGTCATCAGGCCAGTATAGGAATTCGTGGAACAAATATGGATCTACTACATACTTATTTGGGTTATTTACCATGAAGCTTGTGAAAAGGGCAGCCTTTGTTATAATGGGTGTTCGGCCACGTTGTAAAAACATAATCATTATATTAGAACACTAAAGAAAAAAACAATAAAAAATATTTCTTATAATAATTTGTGTTCTTTGTTTGGTGCGAACTTTGAGAAAACAAGTTCATAAACCAAACGAATATTTTGAACGTTTGGACTTTTATTTGACTTTATATTCTACTTAATGCTAAGCGTCGAACTTGATTTATACTTGAGTTTGCACCTAATAATAAGGTATACATAGTATAACAGCACACCTTCGGCTTGGCAGTATAACTCCTAGGCATATCAGACAGACGTATATTAAACGTAAAAAAGACTCATCATCAGGTTCAGCTAATTATGGGATTTAAATCGTGCCGGCAGGTTACACGATCTCTGATCCGTCGGTGAGGCCAGCAACGTTTGGTCCAATCAACTGGCTTCCACCGCAAACCCCACCCTCTTTTAACGGGGCGGGGCGTCACACCAGCTTTTCCTAGCTGCTGAAAAGGCCGCCTCGCGCTGAGCCCATGATCAGCAGTCCAATCAGCACTATCACTCCATATGACGACTGGCCAATCGGAAGGTGGTACTGTCGGCGGGTCGGGCTAATGCGCTGCGGCGTGATGCTGCTCGAATGACGGAAAACAAGTGGTTTCGTTTGCCGGTTATATTGCTCGGCAGCTTATTCGGAAGCAAGTCAAATTCGATCGTATACCGGCAACAAAATGGATATAGTTAAGTCGCTCGGCCATCCAGAGGAGATGTACAACCTCTTGAAATTTAAAATGGGAGGCTGTCGCACTGTCATGCCTAAATTGGATTATGTGAGTAATCGTTGCTAGGTGCCTTCATGTCTGCCTGTGTGCAGACAATATTCTGACATCATATAAAGATTCACCGGGGACCTGATCGTAGATGTGGAAGTAACTTTTCATTGTCATATATTGTCTAATTTAAGATTTCAGATTTCCTGCACTAAAACATCTGGCTTACAAATGTGTTTGGTTGTGCGCAGGTTAAAATTTTTGGGAACCATTTACGGAACAAAGACCTGTATGTGACATTATTGAGAACGTGTATTAACGCTAAAACTTAATAATGTAGTCTATCGTTCGAAGGGTACGTGTTTTCTGGGTGTATATTTTTAAGATTGCTGTCTAAACAATGTGATGTGAGGAGATGCAGCATCCGTTCATTGGAAAACAGTCGTGTTACTATGTGACACAGAGATTTTGGTGGGTTTGCGAAGGCTTGTGTTTGCTACGGGGGTCCATTTCAGATGTGCATCCCTGACTTTGACAGTGATTTGTTGTTGTTGAGTATAGCTATCTTAAGGGAACTCGCTTGAAAATTATCCTGTAGTAATTTGGGGGCGTGCAAGTTGCAGACTATTGGGATGTGGTGTCCTCAGGGGCGATTCTAGGATTTGCCCATCCACCTAAGGCTCAGCCACCTGAAAAGTCCAGGACGACGTATCTTGGTTTTGGGCATTAATACATTTGGCTAACGTCGGACCCGAATTTACCGGTAGAGGGCAGTCGCGTCACTATCACTAAGAGGTACAGAAACTTCCCTTCTACTTCCTTTAAGTCCTGTTTCATTGTTAATCACTGTTCATCAGAATCGCAACTTTTTCCCCACGGTGGCCAGCTGTAAAACGGAACATGTTTATAATCTGGAAAAATAATGTGCATAGTTGAACTCAACATAAAAAGCATTTAAAGAGGATGACACTCACGCCGTAATGGTGACACAGGGGGCTTAACGTGAAGGTTTTTATATAATATAAAATAAAAAGCTATTCACGACTTAAGCAAAAAATTAATTTGGGGGGAGGGGTTAAAAAAACATTTAGGGGGGCTAAAGCCCCACTAAAATAGGTCTAACGTCGTCCCAGTTGGCTATAATTTTAAGTTTGGAAGCAATCGTCACCTATGCAATCAAAATGTTGCAATCAGAAAGCTGAAAATATGATAAATGGCAGCACTGTAATTTTTTTCTTTTGAGCTTGTGTAATCACATAGCAGATACGTGTTTGGATGTGTTGGGCGGGATTGCCGCTGGTGTGCTGTAAACTTGGATTAGTTTTCGTTGCGGTGGGTGGGGTAATAGACGCAGCTTTTAATACGCAGAACTGCCGTGTCAGACGCTGTGGCGGTCTTGCAGGCGGCTATGAGAGCTTGATATATTTATGTTTTGTTTTGTGTGCGTGGGCCAGAAATCGCATCGGATTTCCATATGGCTGGGGCTTGTTGTAAGGGCACGTCTTCCTTTTCGGCCTTTAAACGCACCCTGGTCATCGCACCGAGGAGCTCGGCCGCTGTCCCCCGGTCGGGGCTCTCCACGGGGCGTCTGTACGAAAGGGGAGCCTTGGAGAAGCGATGGGCGATCAGGACGACCACCGCGCACCGACGCCCCGTAATGCTGTGTTTCTCCTGTCAGGAAACCATGACTGAGACCATGCGGACATGCTTCCTGTATCTGAACCAGACCAGCCGCAGTTTCGCCGCGGTCATACAGGCGCTGGACGGGGAGCTGCGGTAAGGGACGCCGTGCACCGCCAGCTCCATGCTTTCCCAAGACGGGGGCGTGACTGAAAGTTCTTAGCCATAAACAAACCTTGTATTTTACCTGCCGGGAGTTACGTTTGTGCGATGCACAAAACGGTTCTAGTTTAATCTTGATTTAAGCACGCTATACAAAGATGCACGATGAGTTTTAGTACTTGTCAAAAGTTGATATAACAGGCCTACTCCTAAAAGTTTTCCCTACAACTTTTTTTGCAACAAATGGAAACCGCCTTAATAGCAGGAACCGACAATTTATTTGGGTTTGGGAAAAAAAAAATTATTACAATGGCGCGATGAAATGTTTAAGCACAATAAAATATGCACACATCGGTATCTAAAAACCGACGCTGAATGTTTCTGAGCTACTGCTGCCACGCTACAGCTGAAATGTGATTATACGGCGCTTTGCCTCTAGGGCGCGCTGCGTGTCTGAAATAAGGCGACAGTTATGCTGCCATAGTCGCAGTCGCTTTAAACACGATTTGTATTTGGGTTGGGGGGCGGGGGTCTCCTTGAAAAAGGTTAAAGCAGTTGAGCCAAAAATACTAAAGGACTGAGAAATGATTTAGGGAGCAGTTGCTCATTTAATTCATAAACATCCATCTATCAACACGTTTTACCACTTACAAATCTAGCATCATAGTGACTGCTATACCAATGTATTTCTGTAAAATAATTATTACAGAAACAATGGAAATAAGGATCGATCCATAAACTGATAAGAGCCACGTTTATCCAGGAGTCCACTTTCACTCGCTTATCCTTCGCTTTTCACTTGTCCTGCCCTGACTTCTCCAGCCAGGCTGTGTGCATCTTCTACCTGGTGCTGCGCGCCCTGGACACAGTGGAGGACGACATGAGCATCCCGCTGGAGAAAAAGGTTCCTCTGCTGCAGGACTTCCACAGCTTCCTGTACCAGCCCGAGTGGCGTTTCACTGAGAGTCAGGAGAAGGATCGTCAGGTGCTGGAGGACTTCCCCACGGTCAGTGTCACTCCACTGGCACTCAGTGGTTGTCATCCAGGAGGACATGGCTGCCTTGTCTTCGGCGTTGAGTTTGTGGTTGATTGGGAGCAGGGCTGGGCGATATCATATCGATATTATATCGCGCGTGTGCGATAATCACCAGGGATTCCGATGACAGACGAAGCGTTTGGCCGGACACCAGCTTTTCGGTGAAATACGGACATTAATTTACACCCATAATTTGGTAAGAAGATTAGTAGTATGGCTAAAATATTAATGAGATGCGTTTTGTGATACCCAAAAGTTAGTAATCTGTATAAACTTTGTTTCTTAAATTCGATTAGCACCCCACATAATAATGTTTTGGTATACTGTGGTTTGGTAT